TACTCAACTGCACATAAAATCTGTCAATGTAATCTTGCAGCAGACACACAAACATGTTTTTCCTCCAGGCTTCATGTCTGCATAAACAGCCACCAATAGTCGATAGTGTCTGATAAGATTCGTCCCATTTCTTATATAAACATTGATTTCTACAACTGATTTCCGTTCTGGACTATCAGCAACTGTGGCTGTGAAAAGCCGGCTCGGTGGTTGCCCGTAGCGACTGCCTGGCATCTAGCCATTCCCCTTCTAAGAGCAGAAAGGCTGCATGCCTACATCTGATAACGCAAATAGAAAAAGTTCCCCCACAATGCACCACTCTGCCACCCACTTATAATTGTTTTGTGAGTGTGTGTGGTGTATGCGTGGCGCTTGAGGTCCCAATAGATTTTGGCTCCATTGTTTTTCATTAAGCTTATATTGAGTGTTAAAGGGATAGTTCACCCAAAAATGAAAATTAGCCCATTATTTACTCTATATGACTTCCTCCTTTCAGATTAATCTAATCGGAGTTATATTAAAAATTTGATCTTTGAATCTTTGATCTTCCAAGCTGTTTAATGGCAGTCAACGGGTGTTGCAGTTCATCAGTCCAAAAGAAGTAAAAGCGCATCCATCCATAATAAAAAAGTGCCTCACATGGCTCCGGGGGGTGAACAAAGGCGTCCTGTAGCAAATCGATGCGTTTTTATAAGAAAAATATCCATAGTCAAAACGTAATAATCACTTTAATCTAGCTTGTGCCAACAGTTGTACACGGAAGCAGTTCCGGGGCGGATGACGTAAGATGTCTGCGTTGTGGATGCACCGTTGAGTCTCATGAAAACCAACGTTTGTTTACAGGAGCAAAGGAAGCAAAGTTTCCTTACTTTAGCAAAGTAACACCAGTCTCCTCTTGGCTTATATTGAAATCCTCCAACGTTCTTCTTTAATTACTTCTAATTCGTGACCGTTGTTTTGTTTTGATCTCTCGCTGCACTTTTGGGTGAACTAACCCTTTAAGTCAGAGACCGAATTGCGAGTTCATATGCAGTGAACCCAATGCCAGAGCCACTTTGAACTGACTCTCTTTAACCATCATATGAAAAACTATTGACAAGGACAATGATCTGTTGACATCAGTTAAGCTTTTAATATTTTTCACATGGCTCCCTTGACACGAGGATACAATAAGAGCTGTTTAACTTGGACAGCTCCTCTTTGTGTCTGTAGGTCACTGCTCACCACTCTTTAGCTGTGGCCATGGGTTCAATGTGTATCAGACTGAATTTATTTCTATTTAATTAACTTTGCACAGACATCAGGCTAGTGGTTTCCTCCTCCTTTCTTTCTTTCAGTCTTTCATAGTTACTGAGACACATAGTTACTATTGTACCAGGAAGTAGAGAGAGTTATAGTAGATATAAAACAACAAATTACATCTGATCTTGTGCCAGCCTTAGTTTGTTAGTGGTGTTAAACCTTTAAAAGATCATCAGAGTTTAGCTTGAAGCACTTCAGAACCAGTACACTAGATGAGAAGAATTCTATAGTATATTATTTCTCTAAAACTGTCTATATTTTTGTAACTTTTCATCAGAAATTCTGATTACAAATCATTTTCCAGAAAGAAGATCTGGACCACATTTAAACCTGAGTTTCCCACATAAGCACCATGGCTCAACACTAACTGCTAGGCTTACTCCCAAGTTTTTTTTTGTTTTTTTTTTTGAGTGAATCTGCTTTTCACATTGTGTCTTTCAGCATGAATATTGTCCTTTATTGCCGAAGAGTGAGAAACAGAGCGAGAGAAGATTGAGGAGAGTCTCAGCATATCAATCCTCTCTCTCGTGGTGGCAGAACAATGGCATGCTGGCATGACACAGGCTCTCAGCCAACATCATTGGCCACAGACAGAAGGCTTTTCACAAATGCATGGAAGTAATGTGGAGGTCTTCATGCACAAACACAAATTTCAGAACTACTTAGGTTTTGTGGCTGCTCAGTGCTCCTCTTTCAGTTGTTCTAAGTTTATACTATGGTGACCATAAAAGTATGCCCCATACAACATATTTAACCCCCTTACTACAAAAGAAAATTTTATAAATAAGTATTTTTGTTTTCTTTTCCACTAAAGATGCATTGTACTCAAGCTTTGAGGATCAGTTGGGGTCCTTTTCCCCCACTTGTCAAACGAACTTGTTTACCATTTGACTTTATAACTTGTGCAGATATATACACACCCTAACACAAATGTATATGGTCTGTGTTGTACATGAACATGTGTACGCATATGATGAAATATGATCGCTAGGACTTGGCTTTTTCCAGACACTCTAAGCATGTTTGACCTTGTGGTCAGAGCAGATCTGAAAACATCACAAGTTTTGCCAAAGTGGAATGTGCATCCATGTCTGCATGTGTTTCTACATATGTACCCTAGGTTTTTTTATTTCCTCCGCCCAGTCTCATACTCTGAGGTTGAATTAGCTAAGTCAAGTTTCTTTGAGCGTCTCCAACTCAAGCACCCGTGAGAAAACTTTACACAAACTCCTTTGGCCCAAAGTCCTATATTTTTGCAGGTGTAGAAAGTGTCTACTTCCTTAATTCCGGTAATGCCCATCTGTCTAATAGGAGAGAGAGAGAGAGAGAGAGAGAGAGAGAGAGAGAGAGAGAGAGAGAAGAAAGACAGACAGACAGACAGAGGTGTTTGACCACATCTAGATGAAGTAGCTTATGTTGTACATGACCTTATGTCTAAAAACCACAACATGATGTTCCTTTGAACATGTTTGAATATTATTTCACTCCGAGCTTAAGAACGTCGTCATGAAGTTTTTGGAGGTTGAGAAATAAGTAGGTTTCACTGATGAAAAGAAGCAAATAGGCCTTAGGGTAGTTGTTTTTCACAATGTTCCCTGTGCTGGTATGATCTTACATCTTAAAGGTTTGGTTTATTGTATGTATATATTTGTGTGTTAGAAAGGATCAGTCACCACGACTGCAGTCTCCTCTCCCTCCAACCACAAAAAGCCCAAACGCCCCCTTCGGTCTTTCGCTCCAAACACCGTTCCAGACATTTGGGTGGTCGGCGTAAGCTAAGCTTTGTTTTTCTTGCTATTCACACATTTTACAATCCTTCAGGGGGAACTTTTCAAAGCTCCCACCACAACTTCGGGTCTAATGTTTAGTTTGCTTTGATTTGAAAATATGTATTTGTTTTTCCCGCCGTTGGCTGGATGATGACAGCTGACGTGTGTTTTGCAGGACGTATGACATTTTAATGAGTCAGCCATTTTGGGCTGATGTCCCAGCCTGGCATCTGTCCCTTTTCTTACTGAACAAATACACTGGTTTAGATGCATGCCAAATAATGTGCATGTATTTTTTTGTCCATTTCTATACCAAGGGAAACCCTCCACAACATAAGTCATTGAGGCTTTGCTTTTAACCACAAAAAGTTTCTCCATCATACTTCTCTCATGAAGCAGAAAGACATGAAACAAACTGCTATGAAAATGTTTCAGCAAAACCACAAATGAACCTGAAAACTCCACATATTCTGTCTCCGAAATGTCCACATACTTACTCTGTTCCAAACCTTAGTGAGCTGCCTACGTAGACACTAGACAGCATCATTGACTCAATCCTAATGTAGGCAACAACATAACAAATACTTCCTAAGATAACTTGTTTTGGACAGTATCTTTTGGCCACTATTGTTTTAAACAATGCAGTCCCAGAATGTATTCCGAAATAAATCAATATGGTGAACGAATCGAAAAAAATGGGGATTATAAATATATCTAAGTCATGATAAATGGGTTTATTCTAACCCATTATTTGCATGTTTTGTATGTTTACCTTTATAGTATTGCAGCCAGTTAGCTTAGTAATATGTTTACATGATACTCTATTGGAATCAATTGTGAATAAAAAGTCTCTTATTAGGTTCCACAATTGTTAGGGTGCAGCTCACTAGGTTTTGGAACAGGACTTCAACAAATCATAAAGATCCAGCATTTCCAAAGGTGTCACTGAAAAGGCACGTATCACCCTTGTTTTTGTTCAAACCTAACATTACAAATGAGTTTGAATTACTCAGTATAACTATAAAACAAAAAAACAAGTAATGAAGGACTTTGATGAGTTTGGTGTTCATTATAAAGTCTTATCTGCATTGAATTAGTTCTCTGAAGCTCTCCATACAGTATTGTTTGCCGAAAAGCTTTGCTTAATGCCATTAGGCTGCATTGTCTTTAGCTCTAAGCTACTTTGCACTGACAATAGCCCTGAACCCAAGCCAAAGGGAAGAGAAGCTTCTCTTGCTATTGTGCCGCTTTGCGCGAATTACTTAATTAGCAAACGCGCAAACAGTTACTTCAAGACAATGTGTATTGGATACACAGCACATTATGTGCGCTCTCTGAGGTTTTGTGTACACAGCTCTTGTAGTAGCAGCACTTTGAGCTAGTGCTTTGTTTGGAAGATTAGATACAGGCTAAAAGAACTTCCTAGTTTGACTGTTGGTGTCGATTTTAATTAATTACTTTCCTATGAATTAATTAATTGCTTCAATATTTAATGCCATTTGCTCAGTTTTGTACCGTGCTTTTTACACTGCATTTGGTATTTTTTAAATATTTTTTTCTAATAATCTTGAATGAAGTTTATTTTTCCAACTCCACTGGCATATTTCTTTTTTTTTAAGCATTTTTATTATTATTTTTGCTTTAAAATGAAGATTTATGATTTAAAATAAGGGGGGAAAAGCCAATTGGATAAACAAATGCTGATTTTGCAGTGTATTTCTCACTATATATTACGCTTTTTGAACGAAAGTCATGTGAAACATCCCTGTCGTCTCAGGTAAGTGTGTATCTTGACACACCCTACGGGGTCTGTGTTTGTGTTTTTTGCGTAGTTATGCTGCCCTCGATGGTGTTGCATAAATCGACAGTGCAGCCGTACCAGCGTGGGTTCTACTGCGCAGACGACAGTATCCGCTATGCCTATAAAAGCAGCACTGTGCCCTCTTCTGTGCTGACAGCCGTGGGCCTCCTCCTGCCCATTGCCAGCGTAAGTGCCCCACAGAGGGGCCTCAGACAGGGGACATGGGGCCAGGCGAGTGGGGCGACTGCATGGGAAATCAAGTCTTTTGAGAGAGTTATTATAGTTTGTAGCCTTTATATAGGAGAAACTGCTAGTGTATTGTGCCAAATAAACATTAGCGATGTGTAGCCGTTCACTTCTCTCAGAAGCCGAGCTACCATGTCAGACTCCCCCTCCCCTGCCTGGTATTTCCCATAATCCTCGGCTGCCGTGTGCTGTGCTGTGCTGTGCCGCTACCTGCGTGTCTTTCTGTGACAGACCTGATATCTCTCTCTCTCTCTCTCTCTCTCTCTCCCCACTCTCTCTCTTTGTGTGCGTGTGTGTGTGTGTTTTGCTGTAGCTGGCCTGCCTTTCCTGATAATTGAAACTAGCACAATCAAGCCATACCATCGCGGGTTTTACTGCAGTGACCAGTCCATCCAGTACCCGTATAAAAACGGGGACACCATAAGTGATGCCGTGCTCTGTGCTGCTGGCATTCTAATTGCCATCCTCTCTGTAAGTTCCTCTCTTATGTATATATATATATATATATATATATATATATATATATATATATATTCATATAAATATACCACTAATTCATATAAACATCCCATCTTCATCCCTCACCCCCTATTAGAACATTAGTGGAATAACTGATTAGTGATTAGTAAAATAACTGTAGAAATAAATGGTGACTTGTAGCATAGAATTCTACCCATAATCCTTTTTAAATCTATTAACCAGTCCTCTCCATCCCATCTTTTTATTTAAAATATTTGAATAACTCAACATCAAGAGATTTATCATGGTCAGGGCTGTCGCTGTCTCTCTTCTTCTTTCTGTCTCGATCTTGTTCTGTCTTCTTTTGTCTGCATGTATTTTGTGATCTATTGCTCTTTTTGTGTTTTAACTTTTTTAAAACAGCAATGCTGAGTTACTGTATAAAATGTTATAAATCAGTAATATATATAGATAGAAAGCTTGTGAACGAGAAGTACACTTTAGCATACTTTTAAAAAGAGTGCTTATGGAAATAATATATTTTTATAGAATAGACATGAGTGCAAACTGAATGTAACGTTTTCCTGACAAATGCTGACAAGCATTTATGGTAAACTAAAATTGTATGTAATTTCTATTGAAACTGTTGTGTCATGTATTTAAATATATTTGTAAATAGACATTTAAAACGATCAAGTTGCCATGTAGTACATTTAAAATATATTAACTTTAAATGTAATATTAACATGGTACAGTTAAAATTAAAATCAAATCCTTCACATGCGATATGTTAATAAGTGTTGTTCTTTAAAAGAAAATTTGCTTAATTGTCATGAAAAGATCAAAATGCTAAATAAATCAATCAAATCCTAATGGTCCCAAATATGATTTTCCTAAACCTTCATATTTATCTTGTTTCATATTTATTGTTTCTTATATTTTACCCCAAAATAAAAAAAGAAATCAGCAGGATATATTGACAGATTTTGCGAAATGCACCTAATTTAGTGAATTGAATTTTTTTTAAAAGAGCAAAGTCTCACAGAATTCAATTTGAGTGCAGATAAATCTGGATAAGAGATTAAACCGCCCCACAGCTGCTGAGGTGTTAAATTAGTCAACATTCACAGCCTTTGTGACAGCTGCCAAAGAGTTAACCTCTTACAAATGAACCCAATCACCTGGAGGACACGTTCAATGAAGAAGAAGAAAGAATGCAACATTAAACCTACTTTTTAGCTCTTGTGAAACTCCAAAACAATATCTGAAAACAAAAATTCACCATTCCAGGCAAATCCCTTGTGGAATAAACTGGTGGAGATTAGGGAAGTGGTCTTGCAGTAAACTGGCATGACCCCAAGCCATGACTCCATGGAGATCCCATATGGAGACATGCATGCCTCACTGTCTGGAGTAGATATGTTCCCATGCTCAGCAATTCTCCTGATTAAAACAGGGACTGGGTGTGTGTGTGTGTGTGTGTGTGTGTGTGTGTGTGTGTGTTGGCACCCCCCACACAGCTGTAGTTAATTAGCAGTGTCTCCAGTCCTAGTTTGGTTAGGCCTCAGGGAAAGCAGACCCGCTCTTCATTACCACCACAACAGCGTTCCTCTACAGTTTGAAGAGAGAATTAAAAAAGAGTGTGAGAGATAGTAAATATCTCATTAAGGCATGGTTTATGTACTTCATAACCCATGCCTCTCTGCTCAAATTTACGTCCTACTGGTTTCAAATGGTGCAGACCACCATTTTAAAATCCCATGCTCTAACTGCTCATATGAAAGCCATAACCTTTAGAAACATAATATGTTCCATATCATTAAAATATCACCAGCAATGGGCAGGCCATGCTCAGTCATAACTCAAGTTACTCGTTTTCTCATTCCCTCATTTCTTTCACTCATTTCTTCTTGCTTTTTTGATTAATGTGCTTTCCTAACTGATACTTCATGTGCATGTTCGTCTAACTCCCCCCTGCATGCCCATGACCTGACCACTGAAATCTTGTGATATTACACACGACACGTTAATGTTTGTGGTATGACTTTATGAATTCACCATCACTTATGATCTTAATGACATTCAGCTCTGTTCTAAAACCTAGTGAGCTGTCTTGCTTTCTAGTAGCTATATAGGCAGCTGCCTACACAGGTGTCCTAACCATCATTGAACCTGATGAGCAATTTGGAACACTATGTAGGCAGCAGCTCTGAGCATCACACAAGTTCAAGTTGATTTCAAAAGTGTTTGTTAGCATGTTGCTAAGCTAACAGCATATTGTGTGAGGCGATTTTTAATTACACTGAACAAATATATTGATACTTTTCAGTATTGATGAAATGTTTATTCATAATCAGCATCTCGGCTCATTTACCATCTTTGTCCACTGATCTTTGCGCAGTGCATTTGATTAATCTTTTTCATGATTTTCGCTAGGTTTTGGAACAGAGCCTGTATGTATTATTAATCTCAGCTATCAGTAATTTTTGTTTCCATTGTAAATTAACCGTTCTCTAGATTGTGATTGGCGAATGCTACAGGATCCATTACCTGAACCAGGGCTCCAAGTCATTCGTGGGAAATCCATATGTCTCCACCCTTTACAGACAAGTGGGCGTGTTCATCTTCGGCTGCGCCGTCAGCCAATCATTCACAGACATTGCCAAGGTCTCGGTTGGACGGTTGAGGCCGCATTTCCTAGACGTTTGTAAGCCTGACTACCCTACCATCAACTGCTCTCTGGGATATATTACTCAATACACATGTCTTGGAAATCAAAGCGAAGTACAAGAAGCCAGGTGAGATATTTAACACTCACTTGCACATGGGATAATAAAATGTCACAGTTTCTACAAAAATACTAAGCAGCACAACTGTTTTCAACATTGATAATAATAAGAAATGTTTCCTGAGGAGCAAATCGGCACATTACAATGATTTCCGAAGGCTCATGTGACACTGAAGTAGGAGTAATGATGCAGAAAATTCAGCTTTGCCATCACAGGAATAAATCACATTTAAAAATATATTAAAATAGAAAGCAGCCATTTTAAATTTTAATAATTTTTCACAATATTACTGTTTTTACTGTGTTTTGTATCAAATAAACGAAGCCTTGGTGAGCATTAAAGACTTTCAAAAACATTAAAATATTTTTAAAAAGTTGTTTAATATTTTTTCAAAATAATATATTTTTTTTTTCATAGAAACTTAACAAATAAATAAATTAAATGTTTTTATGTATTTAATAATAAAACTGTTAATAAAATTTATTTTTTTTCTTCCTACAGGAAATCCTTCTTTTCTGGACATGCTTCATTTTCGATGTACACCATGCTGTATCTGGCTGTAAGTACATACACTGTGTGGTGCTCTCACACTGCCACTGTTCTGTTAATTTACAAAAGAGCTGTTTTTTCATGACTATTATGTTTAGTATGAAACAGGGACCCTCTATCACCCTTTCACCCTCCTCTGTGGGTCTCTGAAATGTGGGTCACTCTTATTTTCCCTGTTCATCTCTGGAATGGACACACTTCACCAGTTTTTATTTGTGCAGCTGTGTAGACTTCCCCTCTGTCTGAAGCTGTCCTTCATTCCACTTTCATTCCTTATGCTTTATTTCTATTCTCTTTTTGAATGGGTCACACACTTTTTTACACCAATTATGCAGAATCCCCAATATAGCTTTACATACACACAAAGCCAGATTTCGCACAGCCTCCCGGAGTCTCTCACTGTATGTAAAGCCTCTTTCAAAGGCTTCAAACGTTTTCCCCTTTCACACGCAAGGCCCTCCACTCCTCCCTCCTTTTATTCAAATCCTTTCTTTCTGCATCTAAATCATCAGCATCTCCATGGGCCCCTCCACCTTTCACTCTTTCAGATGGCAGGAGTTGGAGCCGCTCTGCTAATGGAGGAAGCCAAATGTTCATTCTCAGCGTTTTGAGATATTATTTGAGAAAATTAGGAGGGTGATAGAGAATATGCCTGTTTGAGTGTGTTCAAGACCACAAACCTGTTCAAACTCATGCAGATTTGGTTCTAATGCTCTCAAAACAGCCATTAAATGAATGTGTGACTTTGACAGCTGGGCCTGACGCCCGAAACACTGACCTGAACACTTCCTAGACAAGAGGAAACAGTACGTTAAGAGCCAGACCCCTGGCAGGTTCTGTTGAGTGTTTTGTGACTAAAACGATCCGTATTTACACATAGATGCACTGTATTTTAAACCATAGTGATTAGCCACAAAGCAGGAGAGATGTCAGCCAATGTTACACATCATTATTCATGGAGAACAGCAAGCATATATATCTTCTATATATCTTTAAAACAGATTTTCAGCATGCAGTCACTTGGCGATTTTGGGTCTGAATTATCATCTTGATTTGAAAGCCTGGATTTGTGCCTCTGAGGGGCAAATTGTTCAGATGTTATCAGAAACCCTGGCCAGATTTGTCACAGCCGAGGCCAAAGTGTAGTCAAACTCCATTATAAAATGTGAACATGCGAATAGACTATTATGTTAAGATACAGGGTGACTCGCTAAAATTATTTTACCATCTGCTCTTGGCCTTCAGAGTTAATAACGAGAGGCCAAGAGAGAACGCTCTGAGATATCGAAGCACAAAGCATGATAAACAGAATTACAGACCTGAAGAAATCTGAAGAACAGGAAAAACAAGTGGAGGAAAGTGCTCTTTGAGTAGACCGATCAAGCGATACAGTCTTATTGACTGGAGCATTACCCTTCCCAGCCTTGCTCCCTGTAATTATCTCAGTCTAGCTGTCATGCTTCATAGGTCAGATGCTGAAGTCATTATGAGAGCTCACACCAGTCTTGTCATCCCCTTTTATTTGCACAAATGTAACCCTAGGTCAAAACTAGACTCTTTGTTCTCGCCAAAATTCGCGAATGAATCATTCTGGCACAGTACCTCAAAACAGAACCCACACCTGTTCCGACATGTATTAATACATTAATCTCACTTTTTTTTCTCTCTCAATTTTCCTTGTAAAAAACCATAGTGGTTTCATAGAAACCTAGATGAATTTCCATTGAATCTGCACAATTTTTTCCCCCGCAGTTTTAAGGTTTGTAAGGTTTTGCTTTCACCTGTGCAGTGGATCAATGTCAGTTTTAAAACTGTGACTTCTCTTTTTCATTGATAGATCATTGTTTTCAATAAAAATTATGTTATTTATCATGAAACTGCAGACATTCAGAAGCAATAACTGCTATAAGTGTTGTGTGTGAAAAATGCATAAAATTATACAATTTATTTAGTAATTTATAATGTTACAGAAGATTTCTATTTCAAATAAATGCTGTTTTTTGAACAGCAAATATTCATCAAAAAATATATCACAAAAATATTAAGCAGCACAACCTAATTCAGCATAAATAAATGTTATTTTGAAAAACTATTCAATTATAAAAAAAGAAAAAATCTATAAGATATTGATCAGATCATGGTCTGATATTGAGATCATAGTCAGGTTAAGATACTTAAATATAATAAGTTGAGTTCTGCCCCCTAGAGTGACTGCTACTACTATACATTTGTGCGGTTGAATTTTGTATTTAAGGGTCTTAGTGAACCACAATATCGATGCAGCTCAACACCAGAGTAGCTGGTCAACCTCATGTGTTCATTGAGTTGGAACAGCATATCAGTTATTGTTATTGCAATAGCAACTTCCTAGTTGCTAGTTATTGTTCTGGATAGCAAATGTATGTGAGTATTTTGTGGGTAGCAAATTGGGCATTTCCTAGCCTCTCTATGACCTCCACCCTCCATAGTCCAATGAGTTCTGGTTTGGCTGCTGCATCACTGCAACTCTCAGACCGCATGGTGACGCATTATGCTCTAGTTAGTCGTAGTGACCAGAGAACAGTCGGTGAACGATATGAGACCATGGGCAGAGTAGAAACAAGCACAAACCACTCACAGGCAAATCTTCTACCTGCTGTTTTCAAGCTTATTTCTCTGTACATTGTGGTCAATGACATGTGGCGAGGCTGCGTTGGCTTTACAGTAATATTTTTGGACCTGAGGTCAGAATAGAAAAGGTTCTAGCAGTGAAGTTTGACTGTTTTCTGCCAGAACTGGCAAGATTCAAGTGCAAATACACTTCAGGATGACCCACAAAACCATGCACAGCGCCATGAAAAACCTGTCTTTCCTTTCAAAATATTGCAAAATAAGTATAGTTTTCCTCACACTCACCTATTTGGTTAAGCTAATATGATTTATTATACCACATCTCTCTTGCTTTTTCTGTTTCCCACCCCAAGTTGGACTGAACATCCCATTTTGTGGCTGCTTATATGACCTGAAGAAGTCAGTTGCTGGGCTTAAAGGAACAGTTTATTCATATTGTTCCAAACCTCTATGACTTTCATTTACAGAACCCAAGGATAAAGATGACGGTACTGGTCACTCTTTTCCATGCAATTACAATGAACTGCAATTACAATGGGACTGAATCTTTAAATCTTAAAAAGGATGCAAAAGCACGTAAAAAAGTATCAAATGGAGTATGTTCCGAGTCTTCTGAAGTAATACAATAGATTTGTGTAAGAAACAGATTGAAATTAAAGTTGGTTTTGGCAACAACAAAAAAAAAAACTTCTGACTTAGCTTTCCTTGGTATGCTTATGAGAATTTTGTCAAAAGTAGCAATGTTCAATTCATGAATACATATTGTTTATTCATTCTGCTCTTTTTAATAAATCTAATTCACAAAAATATCTGAATGATTCATTCAAGAACACAGCTGGCCTGGTTTTTAAAGCAGTAGCTCACCCCAAAATGACAATTCTCTTATCATTTACTCACCCTCATGTCATTCCCACCCTATAAGACTTTCATTCATCTTTGAAACACAAATAAAGATATTTTTAATGAAACTCCTGTTCCTCCAATAAATGTCCATTCCACCGAAACTGATGCTTTGAAAATTTCATGAAGACATTGAGTTCATATTGTTTTTAAGTTGTTTTTAGGATGATCGCTTTATTTGATGAACAGATTTAATTTATATGATGCATATAATTTACATTACATGCATCATATAACTTCAGAAGACTAGAAAAATAATGCACAAGGTATATGAACCACTTTCATGACTCTTTTGTGGTGCATTTAAATCCTTTTTTGAAACTGTTGAAAAGAATGACTAGTATGACTAGAATAACTAGTACAGAAAACTAATCCTTTAATAGCCCGCCAGGATCTTTTCCATTGTCCCATTTGATACCTCAATATCAACTCTGATGGTACCACCCAGATCGCCTGCAGGGAGGGACTGGATGGAGACTGTCAGCAGGTTGCAGCATGTTATCTGCACAAGAGTGTGTTACTTCTCATGAGGGCATGTGTTTGTGTTTTGAGTTCGGTTTGTCGCTGTAGAATCTAAGACCACACCGTCTGCCATTCCTGCTACCACCACCTCACAAACACACAGAGATGAGAGAGCCATATACACCCCACAACGTCTGCGGCACGTTTGGCTTATCTGAGCTCTGATAGCAAGATGCTAAGAGGCAGATTTGATGGACTGTATCTGAGCCCTGAGGGTCCTCAGGCTCTGCTGTTCTTATCAGCTCTTGGATGCCTACATGTGGAGAGGACCCCGCTCTCGCCCTGAGGAACAGAGCCACTTCAAGAGTTTGGAGAAGTCACCGAGCTCATCTCTACATCTCCAGACTCCGACATGCTGGCTTACAGCTAAGGAGATGAGCGTCAGACGTCACCCTTCCATGACCTCTTACAGTCCAACATATACCAGAATTCTCTCTTTTTGCCACTTTAGTATAGAAAAGATTTATATTAGGGGTGCCACAAGTCCCGATACAAAAAAAAAAAAAGTAGAAAATACTTTCAAGAACTTAGAAACATGCTGAATTCATAGTTCTTCTTTTCTGCCACTCCTTATGGCGGATGTTATCCAGAGGCCCTAGTTGTCTTGTTTGTGTTGTGGCCACTTGTTGATTTTTAAAGTGAAGTGACAATAACATTCCTCTCATTGTGCTTCATTGCGCAACATTCACTGTGGGTGCGAAAGAGAGCATGAGAATGTCACTGTTGGCTCTAAAGCTCAATTCTTTATTTTGGAGAACCAATCTGCTATTTCTTCTATTTTCTATCATTTACTAGGTTGGAAAACACTGGAAGCCTTCATAAATAATTTGAACAGTAAACATAAAATTATTTTGTTCTCAGTTTGTCATGTGTGACGTGAGACAAAAATCGTAATAAAAAAGGCAATAACAAAACTGTAAAAATTGGAAAGGAAAACCTCAGGGATTACTTATCCAGTTCTACGTTTTAACAATCCTAATTTATTGATTCACTTTTGTAATTTAGTTTGCAGTCACGGCAGACAGACCTCCGTCTCCATAAGCCACAGATCTGCGGTTGAAGAGCATTCCGTTGCATTCACATGGCCTGATCAAAGATATTATTGACAAGTTGTTTGCAAGTTCTCCTCAGGAACTTTTTTAGGCATAGGAATGCCAAATGTAGGAAAGTCTGTGGTTGAAATAGCTACAGATGCTTGGTTAGAAAATCTCTCTTCACTGCCAACACTGTGGCTGAGCTGGACCCAAATCAACATGAGTATGAATTTATTTATTTATGTTTTGCCTCAGATGAACTTTAGCCATATAATCAAGCAAGTATCTCCATTTCAGTCAGTCATCTATGATATCTAACTCTTCTCTTTAGCCAGCTGTAAACGCAACAGCTTGTATACAGTAGCGATTCAGACTGATTCAGGCCAAATGGCTTAAAGCTTTGTTTCAACGTATTTTTTAAGGACTTCCTGCTTTGGGCCACAATATAAATTGAAATAATGAGACAGCAGGCCATATGTTGATTCCAATCGGTTTGAGGCAAAAAATGCACAGCCGCACATAAACAGCCATAGATGCTTATCACTCTACCATCCTTCCGTTCTGAGGGGATGATTTTATGAGATAAGATCAGTTGGAAACGATTGAGGAGGCCTTTATTTCTCTTCAGTCTGGTGTGAACATATTTGCCGCATGTAGCAGTAATGCTAATCTTCTGCCTAGTTAAATACTCCATAAATCCAAACGGCATTGCCTGACCACAGAGAGCGCCAGTCATTTATCAGAATCGAATTTGCAAAGACTCAAAGAGCTGTCAGTCTACTTGTGCAGGCACACTCATCCTCACATCATCTGAGAACTCCATCCAGCAAGGAAACTCCAACTCCCAAACATCCTCAGGGAGGGATTCCTTCCTCTCTACACACACAATGCCTTCGGAGTGAGGAGAGAGCTGTTCAGGAAAGCAGACATGACCTTGTACACACCTTCATTTAGGAGCTCAAAGCCCAAGATGGCTTTTGTTTGTTTTGTCTAACAGATCGTCTTGAGTGTGTGCATCAGTGTTTGTGTGTATAAGGGTGTGTTCAGAGATTTCTGTTGTCTGCTGTGGTTTTGAACGTAATGGAAGTGTTCCTTCTCATTTGGTGATGGATGATTAAGGGAGGGTGATGAGTACAGGCTCCTTAACTGACCCAGTTTGAAGGGTTTCAGGACTGATGGGCCGCCGGAGCATCGTCAACAGTTTGTCCTCCTGACCCCCATCCTCCACTAGTCTTTGTAACCCCCAATCATTTGTTTTCTTACCCTAATGAGTCTTCCTGTTCCCAGAAAGCGAGCTCTACAAGGGGTCCTTGGATTTAGGTGACTAGAGAAAGAGATACCTTTTTTTCAGTCCTGTTCAGCGCAACTTTGGGTTCTCAGTTTCTCACTCTCAGCTCCACCTCCCATATTTTTTTCTTCACCTTCCTTTGTTTTGTTTTGTTTTGTTTTGTTTTATTCCTCATTCTTATTGTATTAGCTGTTATGTAATAAAAACACAAGTTGTACAAATGTTCCCATTGTTTAAATTGCTTTCCATCTCTGTTTCTTTAGTTCTACCTGCAGTCTCGGTTCACGTGGCGAGGAGCCCGTCTGCTGAGGCCACTCCTGCAGTTCACCTTGCTAATGATGGCCTTCTACACCGGGTTATCACGCGTTTCTGATCACAAGCACCACCCCACTGATGTGTTAGCTGGCTTTGTCCAAGGAGCCCTAGTGGCCTACTGCATAGTGAGTACATCTATGTATTTCAATCCATTTCAGGCTTCCTTAAATAAGATTAAGTATCTAAGGAGACAAGAGGCTGTTGTGATTAATCTTGAATTAGTTTTATTGGTTGGAATGTAAACCAATCTGGAAATGTTGTACTTTACTACATTTAATAACCATTGGCCTTGATCTGGTTGTCATCACAACTTGATTTTTTTTCTAATATTGGTTAACAAACATTTTGCCACAGTGTTAACACCAGAACTAATTAAACACTCCTTTCTTAAATATGCTGGCAATTGCCAACCCGACAAGTTTGACAATATAGCATGTTTTCCCATTTCCCACCCTTCACTTTAAAACATGAAAAGGTTTTTCTTTTTCTGTCTGTATAGTTAGTGATAGTCCATGAGTATGTTTGAGCTCGACTCAAGGCAGATTTTTCAGATAATTTGTTAAAAGAAGAACCATTATGAACAGACTTTATTTGGTGTCTTTTGAGTGAAGTGAAGACAGAAGACCATCCAGAGTTTGAGATCGGAAGGGGATCTGAATATCTGGAACCAGACCACAATGTTCTCCAGACCCCACCCTCTAACTTTTTCACTCCTATCCACAAAATTACTCATCCATCAGAGTGAAGCATAATCTTTTTCTTGTTAATCCAGAGCATATTACCTCAATTGCACCATTACCAACTCTCAAATGAAAATAGGAGGGGGAGGGTTGTGGAAAAAGGAATTTTACACTTTATAATTGTGGCACATGTCACTTTTGTTGGTGCCAGACTTTCCCTGCAGTAAGCAAAGCTTCACTTAGTTGGATTGTGTTTGGGAAAATTGAATCAAGGGGAGCTGAGCGTACAAAGAGGGGAGAGCATTTTCTCTTTGTGAGAAATGACTGGGTTAATTATTCATTTGAGAAACAGAGATGTATCTGTTTTTCTGCATTGTAAGGGGACGGTGCAAAGATTTGAGGCCCATATGATAGGGGGAGGCAAGAGACCAAGACCTCTTCCCCCAGATATTACCCCATCTTAATTCTTACAGCATCTGAAAGACAAATATCTAAATTGTTAGTGTTGAAATTTCTCAACATTACAATTCTCAGAATGTTCTAGCAGTGTCTTTCTTCACTCTAACTAGCTGTGGCAGGGCCACACTTTTTATGGGACACAGATGTTCGCCAAACATCTCTCTAATGGTATCATGAACCTTCAAAATATTTAATCTTCAGCCCTTGAATTTGCTGTGTGGTTCAGTTTTCAGTTGGCTCTTGTCCCTATTTATTGGCATTTCAATTTTTCCAAGAGCAGTTTAGGTTTTCATAACCTCATTAAGAAGGACATTTTTAGTGAAACAGTCTTGTTTTACTTTAATTATCCATCCATTTCTGATGGTCTTGATTGTCTTTGAGCCCCTCAGGTTCAAGGTGTCAAGGCACAGGTCTCCCCACTGTGAAAAACCAGAAAATAGCAGATAAGTACAAATAAGAGAGTGCAGAAATGTGACCCTGTACCACAAAACCAGTCCTAAGGGTCATCTCACTTGGCATCTCTTTTTTGAGCATCTCAAAGCTGAATAAATGAGCTTTCTGTAGCTGTATGGTTTGTTATGATAGGACAATATTTGGCCGAGATACAACTATTTGAAAATCTGGAATCTGAGGGTGCAAAAAAAATAAAAATATCAAGTTTTGATATATTTACAGTAGGAAATGTACAAAATATCTTCATGGAAATTATCCATCCATTTCTGATGGTCTTGATTGTCTTTGAGCCCCTCAGGTTCAAGGTGTCAAGGCACAGGTCTCCCCACTGTGAAAATAGCAGATAAGTACAAATAAGAGAGTGCAGAAATGTGACCCTGTACCACAAAACCAGTCCTAAGGGTCATCTCACTTGGCATCTCTTTTTTGAGCATCTCAAAGCTGAATAAATGAGCTTTCTGTAGCTGTATGGTTTGTTATGATAGGACAATATTTGGCCGAGATACAACTATTTGAAAATCTGGAATCTGAGGGTGCAAAAAAAATAAAAATATCAAGTTTTGATATATTTACAGTAGGAAATGTACAAAATATCTTCATGGAACATGATCTTTACTCAATGTCCTAATAATTTTTAGCATTAAAAAAAAATCCATAATTTTGACCCATACAATGTTTTTTTGGCTATTGCTACAAATATACCCCAGCGACTTAAGACTAGTTTTGTGGTCCAGGGTCACAAATGAGATCCTTTTCATTACAGATCAAGGCACCCATGTACTTGTTTTTAACGAGCCTACATTTGGAATCTGTTCCGCTCCCCATCTGTGAATGCTTTAGAGGTCCAATTAAAGTATCTCTAATGACCAAATATAGAGGTAATGCAAGGTATGCGTCTTTTAAAAGAAAAGTTATGTCGCCATACATCACGCATTGGTTTCACACCGTAGGCTGCAGTGCTGCTTATCCAAACTTCTCAGCAAGTAGTCTCCAACAGTTCATGGTTTGGAGGTGCAGCAATTCTTCTAAACTTGGCTGTAGGTGCTGATTTCTGCTTAAGGGGGTTGTGTTTAAAGATGTTTAAAGGTTGTAAGTGCTCTGGGTCGGTGTCCAACTGGCTGGCTTCAAAGAAACCGTGGAAAGTTACAGGTCTTGGTGAGTTTTGGCCATATTGCAAAAGCTGATTACAGGCTTACTTCATGTTCCATATTAAAGAAGATCAGTTCACATGGCGCAGTTAGACTGCGATGCCCACAGAGAACTGATCTCAGAACAGCAATTAATGTCAGTCTGCTTATGTATCATGCAAGGGAAACTTAAAACGTCGAGCAGCACAATGTTAACTTGGCCATCAGTTTCGTTCAATCTCCAAAGGAGGCTCCTGAAGTCCTACATTCAGTTCCTTATACTCAGGCCTGGTTTGTATCAGGAATTTTGGCAAGAGTAACTACAACGTTACGATTGCTGAAGTCAGGCAGCCTGGCATATGTTTAAATTCTGATGTCTAAATGTCTAAAAGAACCCCTGAGATTCAGATTTCAGAAACCGCATTTTCCTTCTTTGTCTTTTTCTGGACTGTTGACTGTGGCCACATCCTCCGGTCCTTCCTGTTGGAGAGTGGTGTAAGCTGTTTGTTCATGTCATCAAGCACGGCCCACTTCCTAAGCTGCTGACATGGAAAGAGAGAGTGTGAGAGGTTAGCTGCTTGTAAGGCTCGGTTGCAGAGGTGTTTCCTGAAGGACTAGACAAGGGTGGAAACAGCTGGAGGCCTGCTCTCAAACAGCCTTTTCCTCTTCCCACTCTCTCTTTCTCTATCAGTTCCTGGTTAACAGTATCCCACCGTTCTTCGAGCAAAAAGGGTCATGTTCAATATTCAGGACTCCAGCTCCTCCTGCGATAACGGCCTGCAGCTAAGTGCTTCTGGTCTGGCTTGGGTGGCAAGATGGTTGTCCCGATATCCTATCACTCCCTCCCATATGTCAGGCCCGAGCTTGACTCTTTTTTTTTTTCCATTGGCTGCCACAGCACTCTCCATGTAGCTATGGTAATGGAGGCCATCTTAAACCAAAATAGTGTGGTTGTGTGTAAGAAGAAAGGAAATTTTAATGGTGTTATTAAACTTTGGTAATGTTACGTTGGAGAGCGAAGCAGCCAAAACACAACTTGGTCTCCACAATTATCCTGCAGATGTGGCTCAGGGCCTGAAACTACAATTTAAGTCACACGCATAACATAAGCAACACACTTTCACACATAATCATGTGCTGTGTTTGGCACTTTTAGGATCAGGGACACCCAAACCAATGGAAGACCTCACACGTTTACACACACCCAGACATATCGTCTATGAACCTGCTCACAGTTCAGATGAATCCCAACTTCCCAAGTCTATAAAGCTATCAGTAAAAAGCGGCAGAAGTTCATTCAAACCGGTGTCAGTGGCATAAGTGAGGTTCATTTCAGATGAGTTTAGATGGAGTTAGTGTGCCCTCCCAGCTCTGGGATACAAAATAAGTGTACATTATGATGATCATTTGAATAATTTTGGCAAAATTGTTGGATGGTGACAATTTATTTGGTGTCATTTCTTGTCTGATTAAGGGAATGTGTGAGACAGTGCCGGGTGGAGCAGTTAGTGAAGCAGTTAGCTTGCCATGAAATTATATCAAACCACTTTAATACAATAGAATACAGAGATGGAGACTAAAATAGTAAATTAGGCAACTTGACACCTTGGTATTTTGACATATATTACAGTTTAAAGAGAATGTGTCTTAGAAAACACATTTTGATCTTGTTTAATTTTTGGTCAAAAAACACAAAGCTCTCCCTCCAGTCTAAAAATGGGTGTTCCATCACATCCATGAGCACTTTAACATGGCCAATCATAAGTGAGTCATTTACATATATAGTAGATTTCTTAAAGGTACAGTTGCAAAAACACAATATATTTTTCAGTCTTGCTTATTTACTCAAATGTAACTGTCCGAGAAATGGTGTAAAATGGTTTTTATTTATAAGGTTTATTTGGAGCTGCAGTAATATGCTGCAGTAACAGACCCTAAAGATGCATCTTAATTCTTCCCCCAGTTAGTTGAACCACAATAAGGTCAGCACACACACACACACACACGCACAGGCTTAGACAAACCGCTTCCTGGTGCTGACTGAGCATTCATACACAATGGAGCGGGTTTGCTGTGGAAGAACACTTTCAGACAGAGGGCCGTGGCACAGGAAGCACTCACCCCGTGACACAGGTTCATTGGCAGCCTGTGATTACAGGTGAGAGGTTGTAGTGCATCAAAAAGCCTGTTGTATGAGACGACTCTTGAGTCATGCTGGACAGTTTTTTATTTATAAGGTTTATTTGGAGCTGCAGTAATATGCTGCAGTAACAGACCCTAAAGATGCATCTTAATTCTTCCCCCAGTTAGTTGAACCACAATAAGGTCAGCACACACACACACCCACACGCACAGGCTTAGACAAACCGCTTCCTGGTGCTGACTGAGCATTCATACACAATGGAGCAGGTTTGCTGTGGAAGAACACTTTCAGACAGAGGGCCGTGGCACAGGAAGCACTCACCCCGTGACACAGGTTCATTGGCAGCCTGTGATTACAGGTGAGAGGTTGTAGCGCATCAAAAAGCCTGTTGTATGAGACGACTCTTGAGTCATGCTGGACAGTAAGGCTGAATGCAGGCAATTTAGGTAGCAAATGGGGTCTAGAATTGCAATTAGAAATAGTAAAATTAATAAATTAACAAAAAAAAAAATATTACTATTTTTATAGTAAAAAGCATTACTATTAACTATTAAAATGTAAATTTTTAAATAAATAAAATAATTGATTTAAATAATATATTTCTTAGTGTTTTAATATACACTACTTTTCAAAAGTATGGGGTCAGTAAATTATTATTTTTTTTTTTTTAGAAATAAATTTTTTCATCCCAAAAAAATTAAGTTAATCGAAAGTGACCGTAAAAACTTTTACATTTGTTATAAAAAAATGTCTTCCTAAAAATGTTTAGTAATACATAATTTTTTTACTTGAAAACGGTTATGTTTACAATATTACTGTTTTATCTATGACTTTTTTTCCTGTATTTTTTATCAAATAAATACAGCCTTGGTGAGCATAAAAGACTTCTTTCAAAAAGATTAAGAAATCTTATCAACCCCAATCTTTTGAATAGTGATATTAATATGAATGTATGAATTTAATACATTCTTTCTAAATAAAACTTAATGAATAAATAAAATTTTACAGACAAGAATAGAAGAAAACTTCATTTTCTAGAATGCCATTAGCTCTTGAATTTCTCCGAAATATGAATCAGTCAATTCATTGTACTATCCTTGATTTGCATCCTAAAAAGACTTTGGTTCTGAAATAATCTAATGTTTGTTTTTTTGTTTTTTGTAGGCCTTTTATGTATCGGACCTCTTCAAACCTAAAGTCAAGACTGCCACTCCACCTCCCTCGCCAATCAAGAAAGAGCTCCTCCCCTCTTCTGACATCATAGAGAGGAACAACATTCACAACATGGTGTAGGAGGGGGGAACGGGAGGATCCGTTTGCAATCTCCCTATCCCTCACCTCCCCCCGAATCCCCTGAAGAAACCAGAACAGCCACCTGTGACAGAGGAGCTACGGCCTAGTTGACGCCTCCTCTCTCTCATCTGACAGTAGAATGTAGGGACAGGACAGAGACAATCCTATTGACTCTTATTATAATGACCTCACTATCCTAGAGCCCGATTCGAAAGGCCAAACAGACATAAAGCTAACAAAAAAAGCGATTTCTCCCTCAGAATATTGCGGAGAATGAATTCAGCTCCATTGACGAAAGTAATACACAGAATGCGTTAATGAACACCAACGAAAGGAAGAAGAGAGTGAATGTGAGGCTGGTCACGTGACCAGCTCTTCTCTCCTTCCGACCATCTCTTTCACTTGTCTCTGTGGCCTTTCAGCAACAGTATAGGACAACAAATTCCTTATTAATAGGAATGATTAGTTTTACCTGCGATGTAATTAGCACAGATATATTAACAATATAAAGAAGAATAACTTATAGCACTATATCCAAGTTCATTAAACGTCACCACTCGCTATCTGAGAAGTGTAGCTTTGAGAAGCTTGATGAAGGTCTGTAGACAAGATCATATTTACCCATCAAAGCTGATCTTAGTTACCCGAACAGTGGCCTAACTTTTGGAGAATGCATTTTGAAGGGTTTTAAATGGTGGGTGGGTGAGTTTACACTACTTTTTTTTTCTTAGATAAATAGATTTTTATTTTAGATAATGATTTCACGATGGCCACTGCCAATCCCTGGCTAAATTCTGGGGGTGTGGCTGAGCTGTGCCGCCTCACTGTCTTCTGATTGGTCAGCGCGAATGCAGGGGGCGGGGTTAGACGTCGGGGAGGTGTGTCTCATCACCACGGTGACCGGGATTGACTCCCACTGACCGCACCGGCATATTCTTTCATTTTTGGGACTGGGAACGAGCTTCTTCCGCTGGCTGGTTTGAACTCTTTCCCTTCCAACTGCATAATCACTCAACTCTAGTTGTGTGTTTTTACCCAGAATGCCACCTGTGCCCAATGCCTGTCCTGCCACCAGTCAAACTGCCCCGAAAAGGGGACGTGGGGTCCCTCGGCAGGAAGCTGTGTCCCATTTGTGTGTGTTTGTAAGTGTCGCGTGTGTTTCCGCACCCGGTCCTGGTGCAGTGGACTGATACCATGTGAAGAAACTTAAGAAAACTGTGGACTTTTTTTTTAATGCCTTTTCCTATCGTGATGATGTCTACTGTCCCCACTAACAACTGTACAGTATGCCTGACTATTACAGAGAACACATCCATACAACACAACTCAAGCTCCAAATGTGTTGCACATCCCTCCCATTGTATAGTCCGTCCAATCATTTCAAACCATTTTATTTCTCTCTCAGAAGTATATAAATAATGTATAGATCACTAAAATTAACTATGTAAGATATTATTTCTAAACATGTTTAGATATATCCACTATGAATCTAAAAAGCAATGTGTCATGACCTGTGTTATTTACAAAGTTTTTAATAAGCGTTGAATAAAACACATACAATTGTATCAAATTCACTATTAGTATTTTTGTATTGTCTCATTTTGTACAAAAGAAATAATAGCAAAATGTTTTAGTTTTTTTCTGCTAAATGTACTTGGCTCTTTTAAATAAAAGCTCATAAACAACAACAAAAAGTGTTTGGTTTCTTAATGAATGTTTGCTATTATTGACTGAAATTGGAATTGTCTTAGTGTTCGATGAGTAAAGAAAGATGTGTAAAATTTCAAACAGAATATTTTAATTTTTTTATGATTTCTATTTTAAAATGTAATTTAAACCTGAATTTTCAGAATCATTACTCCAGTCTTCAGTGTCACATGATCCTTCAGAAATCATTCTAATATAATGATTTGCTGCTAAAGAAACATTTATTATTAATATCAATGTTAAAAGCTTCTGCATTTATTTAAAATATAAATTTTTGTAAAATTTCTTTAAAAAAAATCTTACTGACACCAATCTTGTGTGTTTGGTGTTTTAAAGGGGTCATAGGATGCCCATTTTCCACAAGTTGATATCATTCTTTAGGGTCTTAATGAAAAGTCTGTAACATAGTTTGGTTAAAAATTTTCAATGGAATTGTAAAAAACACCTTTTTTACCCTGTAAAAAACAGTTTTTTTCAGTTAAAGCCGTTTTTGTAGCTTTTTCCTTTAAATGTTAATGAGCTCTGCTGACCCCGCCCCTCTCTTCCGAGCTTCTCTCAGAGAGACTGTTTACTTCAGCCGCATTCATCGTGAAACCTGCTAATTAGCACATTATTAGGAAAGGCGATTTGCAAAGATTCATTACAAAACATTATACTCACTTCTTCTGTAGACGAGGCTGGATCATGAATGATTAGCGCGAACATAGACACGTTTATGTAGATATGGGGCACATTCCCTTCAGAAACAATGTAATCCACTGCGAGTTCAGCGGCTCAGATGTCAGGAGTAAACGACAACTGCTATGTTCATTATTACATCCAACAACAGAACACCTCAATCGCTTGTTAGGAGTCATTCTTGACTACAACTGCTCCGGTGGTGAAACAATGGCGGACTGATGACAGCTCACTCAGGGCGGGTCTACGAGAAGACACCAGTCCAGTCTGTGCTGAAACGCTACTGTCAATCAAACTATCGTGGGAGGGGCATCTTGAGATCGGCTCGATTTGAGAAAGGGGAAAATATTTAACCAGATTAAAAAAAACACTGGGTGGTTGTGTACACACACTGCCAACACACATTTCAGTTCAAACAACTTGTAAAAGTGCATGTAGCATCCTATGACCCCTTTAATGTATGTTTGTTATTATGGGTACACTGTGTTACGGTGAATGTGAAGTTGTCCTAGTGTTCGATGAGTAAACTGCATTAAAGTTTCAAATAGAACATTTTTATGTGGCGTTTTACGCATTACTCAAGTACTCGTCATAAAAAGTTTGAAGAATCCGCCAAATGAATTGTCTTGAATGGAATAATACATGTTTAATACCGTCAGCATGTTTCAATCAGGACTGGGCGTTCTTGTTTTCCTAGGACCAAAACTGTGACTTCATATTTTGGCTGTGTGTGGATCATAATTTCTACTGTTGATGGTGGCGTGGTGTTATATTCTCCACCGTTAAGCCTTGAAACATCAACGTATAGCTGAAACATCTCTACAAATGACTGTAAAATGCAACTAACCAATCAAATTGAACAGTTTAATAAGGGAAAATTATTGCAGCAAAGGCTGGTGCATTGAATTGTGGGTACGTTACATCAGTGGGTTGGGTTCAGGCCAGGTTTGTGAGGTCTGATGGATCGCGGCGATGGCATTGAGAGCAGTTCTGGTTCTGTGGTCATGTTTGGCTGTGGGATGAGAGCCGGGGAGGCCTGTTGGCAGGACTGATGCCAGTACTGAAGAAAACCAGTGAAGTTGTGTTTCACTTACTGCCATGAGCCTCGGCACGGCTGTGCTTTTGGACTTTGTATTTCACTGGTTTTGCACTGACATCTACAGTAAGCCACCAAAACTAGTCCTGCCTCTTAAACGATCATCAGGTTGGAACTTTTCACTGACATTAACCTCAATTTGTATGTGTGTTTGTATAAGGCAGGTTATACTAAATGCTGATAGCAATCAACTGCCGCAATAAAATTATCCTGCAGATGATTAAATGTAACTTCCATGCTCGTCATGCACACCGCAGCTAATCTGAACACTCGTCAAATGCATGAATAGGTCATGTTTTTTGTGAATGAGCTTAAATCTGTGCAAATATTCAAGAATTATTTTGTCAAAGGCAGCAATTACACATTATTTTATGATGTAAATATAAAAATTATGTATTTGAATATCCAATATTTTAGACAGATAGATGTGTGTGTGTTAATGTGCTATGAATGTGAATATATATACTCATATATATTTATATATGTATAAGAATGTGCTATGAATGTGAAAATATATACTCTTATATTTATGTATGTATAAGAATGTGCTATGAATGTGAATATATATACTCATACAGTATATATGAAGAGTTCAGATGCAAAAGCCTCTAAAAGCCATCTTGGTCAAACATGAGATAATGATACTGAGTGAATGCTCTCCACACATAGCATATGTTCATCAAGTACTTTCACTTCAAATGCGCTAAATCCCAGCCTCAACCCATTCAGAAGTACCAGTACTTGCATAGAAACCTATACATTGTAGTCAGAAAGAAATGCTAATTTTAAAGAAAAACATCAGACGTACTTAGAGGCTTTTGCATCTTTTGCAACTCTTCATATATATATACTGTATATATATAATGCAATATGCATTTTAAAATGCAATATATCTTTGTAAAATTAATGAAGTAAATGTAATGAATTTAATTAGTAAATTTAATGTAGATCTCATTCATATTTTTGCTTTAAATTCACATTATTAGGGGGAACATAAGGCCCACGTAATGCCTCCCCTACTATACACTAAGTGAATGGGTTTCCCCGGGGGATTTCAAGCTGTACACTTGCGAGCCAACAGTGTATGATCACCTTTGACCTTGAAATCAGCCTACTGTCACATTTAACCAGCAAAACAACATCCCCAACATTCAGGCCTAGATAAACGCTCATGCAGATGTCATAAAATCAGCCTCAATGCTGAGCAGCAGAATCCCAAATGACATCCGCTTTCTCTGCTTTAGTTTATGACTTTATTGGTTTGTTCGGGGAGGTTTACGAGTCCTCGGGCAAATGGCCACATGTACTGTGTACTTAAAGATTTACTCCAGGTACAAGAAGAGCACTGTGACCCACGGAGGAGCTGTCCAGCCAGAAGCTGCTGTGGTAGGGATGGGAATCAGGCCGTGTCGAGGGCGGGCACAGCAGGAAGGAGGTCCAGGGGCTTAGAGGGTCTTTTCACTCTACGGCCCACTGTGAGGAGGGGTGACAGGGCTGGGCTCCGCTCTCTTCCTTTAGGGAAATGGAGCACATTCCTGAATCCAACCTAGAAATGCACAGAAATAATCACAGAGGAAAGGAAGAGAGAAAGGGAGGAGGACATCATCTGCCCAACCAATCAAAAATCTCAAAGTTGAATCCAAGGGTCAAAGGTGATGGTATACAGAGACTACACATTCAGAAAAGTGTTAACTGTAAAATAAAGGCACATTTTAACTGAAAGCTTGAGCTGATTTTTAGGACAACAGTTTGTTATGTATACAGTCATGGCCAAAAATATCGGCACCCTTGGTAAATATGATCAAAGAAGGCTGTGACAATTAATCTGCATTGTTAATCCTTTTGATCTTTATTTAAAAAAAAATCACAAAAATCTAACCTTTCATTGGATAATAAGAATTTAAAATGGGGGCACGTTATTCCCATTCATATTCACAATTTTGAGCAATCCAGGGTGATTATGAACATGAAATTATCCAGCCATGACTTCCTGTTTCACAGAAATATAAATAGGAGGGAAAACAAAGCCCAAATTCCCTTAATCATCCATCACAATGAGAAAAACCAAATAATATATTTCTGTTGTATAGATGTGCAGCAAAAGATAATTAAGCTTCACAAATTAGTGAAGTGGCTTTAAGAAAAGAGCTAGAGCAGTGAAAATTCCCATTTCCACCATCAGGGCAATAATTAAGAATTTCCAATCAACAGAAAATGTTACCAAACTGCCTGAAAGAGGACGTGTGTCTATATCGTCCTAATGCACGGGGGAGGAGAGTTTGAGTGACTAAAGACTCTCCAAGGACCACAGCTGGAGAATTGCAGAAAATTGTTGGGTCTCGGGGTCAGAAAACCTTTAAAAAAAATTGCCAAACAGTACCTACATCACCACATGTTGTTTGGGAGGGTTTCAAGAAAAATTCTCCTAGCTCATCCAAAAACAAACTCCAGCATATTCAGTTGTCAGACACGACTGGAACTTCAAATGGGACTGGCTTCTATG